TTAAACGCTGAACATGGACCAAGCACGGCCACAAACTCACGAAACACCCGGAAACCGCGCCTCCTTCTAAGATGCAACCAGCAAACACTAAAGTCCAATCGAATTAGAAATGCGCAAGACTAAGAAGCCTTAGAACCACAACAACAACAACAACAACAACAACAACAGCAACAGCAACAGCAACAGCAACAGCAACAGCAACAGCAACAGCAACAGCAACAGCAACAACAACAACACCAACACCAAGACCAACACCAACACCAACACCAACACCAACACCAGTACCTGCCGCTGCGGCTGCAGCTGCAACAGCAACGACAGCAACGCAGCACCAGCAACAACAGCAGCAACAGTATGACCACCAACACCACCACAGCCACCACGGCCGCCACCAACAACACCACCAACAACAGATCATCGGAATCGGACCTGTCCGAACAGCACACATCAGCAATGCCATCTTTTTAAGGCGGCAGTGGGATCTGTGCATGGGACCTGGAAGACATCGTCCCTGAGGAGGAGGGCGTCTTCCCTGCCCGTGTCTTACACCTTACGAGGTGTGCTTGAAGCCGAAGCCCCGGAGAGCCATTCTCACGACCCAGCATCACGTTTGAATGCAGGGTTCGTCCCCACAGCTTGATGAGTCGTGACACACTAAAAGGTTTCGTGCTCAGGATTGCGGACGAAAACAGGTTGCAGTGTTCGAGGTTCGAGTTGTTCACTGATATCACAAATCACTGTCTGCGATCTTTGGCTGAGCATGGCTCAATGACGTCCTTAAACTCTACTCTACGTCTTAATTTGACGGCTAGAGTTGCGGATCTATGGCCCAAGTGCCGAGCGTTTTGGGCAGGGTAGGCCAATCAGGCGATTTGCAATCGCTGCACAGGCACTGTTCGGTATAGTCGTACAGAGCAGGGCCCAAAGCACCAGCCTGTGTAAGCCTGAAGTAGCCTGATAAGCTTCTTCCGGCTTCAGGTCTTAAACTTAAACTAAGTTTCCGCAGCCATGCGAGCTCCAATGCCGCGAGGACTTCGTGCCGCTGCCAGATAACGACATGCACCGCACTCCATTCCCCGTCGTGCACCTGATTCGCAAGGCAAACAGCTCCAATAATAAAGTGCCGGCTTCAGGCTTGGGAGAGTTGCAATGGCTTGCTATGGTTCGAGCACGTAAGATTCTGATCGGGCTCAATCTGGTGAAGCTAAGTACTTTGCTCTCTCAGATGACCAAGGCCGTACTGAAAGCTAAGAACCTCTTTCTGCCACTGTGGAGGTGGACCTATCCGGAGACAGCATCATCGCCGCATTTCGGTCGCATGCAAAACCTGCGGTTAGGGCTCGGGTTTGCGGGTCAACACTGGTGTCGCGAGGTTTGCAGGGCAGGGTTTCTGGTTCGCGACTTGTGTCTGCAATCTGCGCCACCCCACGTCAGGACACCTTTCTTCTGAACTTCGGCCTTGCGCCACACACGGAGCGAAATCAAATCTGGAACCTAATCCCAAGCATGCCTATTGGATCGAGGAGGCAAACGAACTGCGACGCCTGAATGCGGATCGCTTTCGCAGCGAGTTGCGGAAAACGTCGTCATGCGTTGCCGGTGCTGCGTGTCACGCTTCATAGGTATCTGGTGCTGTCCAGACACACCTCGGGGTCTTGGCTATCTACACCGATACTGTAAAGGCTGTTGCAGAGACTTCATTCTTACTTGAGGTTGTTGTCGGCACTTTGATTGCAGGGTGCGGGGTGATTCTGTGAATATTCTGATCCGAATCCAATACCGCAGTTAGAAGATGCCTCGGTTTTTTGCCACCCGTACTTGGTAGGATCGCGTGACTTCAGCTGGACCATGTTGGTAGATTCATATTACTTGATCGCTACCTTCACCCCTAAACTGGAAGCTTTATCTTTCCCATGGTGCTTGTCTTTTCCCCTCATGTTGGTTCCCAACAGAACAGGACCCTTAAGCCCCCAACCCCCTTCTTTCCCTCGCCTTGGGAGCAGGCGCCGCAGTTGCAGCAGTGGGTCCAAGGCTGGGCGGATGTTGGCGAGTTTTCTTGAGTTTACAGTGATCAGGTCGACGGTATGGATCCCTAAACCTAAAAGCTGTTCACATACTGACATCAGATTGTCTGTTGTGTTGGGGTTCAAGGTGCAGGCGAAGTGCCCCAGCCTTCCTATCGAAGGCTGGCTTCTAGAGAGGTACCATGGCCTGAGCCTGTTGAGTGCATCTACACACGCACGGTTAACGTTAAAGTTCACTCTATGCCGTTTGCCTTCGAGTCTTCTCCGTTTCGTAAAGTACTCCAGCTGGATGTCCCCCAATTCTATTTAGACAGCCCGAGAGGGTTCCCAAAGGCAAGACAAACTGAGGTGCATGTGAAGACTACGGTGTCCGTGTCTGCACCCTTTCGGCCTCAAGCTGCCCCGAGACTAGGGCGAGTATTGCAGGAAGTGTCCACATTCTCCAACATTTTCATTTTGTGGGATTTCCTCTTGGTGTTCCTCGGGAAGTTTGTAGATAAGAAAAACAACTGAAAGCTTTACAGGCGTGGGCCTTACCAGCTGCAAATACATGAGTGCAGTATACGGTTTCCTAGGTTTTGGGGGACAGTTCACTGCTCATGTGCGTCAGGTGTCAGCACTCGGGCGAGCGCCTGAATGATGTGGGGCTTGTTTCAAGCAGGGCTCCCTTGAACGACGAGTTTGCTGGAACTGAGGAGTTGATTGTTGGTTGGTGAGTTCAAAGCAGCTCAAAGCATCAACTAGACCTCAGGCAATGAACCTATGAGATCCTATGAGCACATGGAAGCCCTGAATTCACCACTTCCGACATGTGAGCTTCGTGTCTAGTGTAGTAGAGATCTTCTAGGTGCAAAGGTGTGGAACTTCGAGATTAAGGTTAAGAACAAGGGAAAGTGCACTCAATCCCGCAACAGACCCGCCTTGACCATGTCCGGGGTAATGCAGTGCAGACATCGGTTCTACTCCTGCTACTCTAGCATGCAACATCGCAAAGCACTCTCTTCTGTGTCTCTCCCAGGCTTCCAGTTCCGCCAGATTTTTCCTCCCACAGCTAAACGGCATAGATGCATCAAAAGGGATCGTGAAGATTGGGACATCCTTTGTCGTTCCAATCCCCATGTCTGTACGGTTTTGAACTCCTTCCAACTCCTGAATCCCGAAACCCCCGATTAGGCCCCCAGACTAACCTCAGAAGCCTGATTTCTGCAAGGCATGGACGATTTACGGCCTAGGGTCAGGGTTCCGCGTTGAGAGATTCACTGCTTGAGGCCGATACGCGAAGCAGTGGATTCAGCTCGTAATCCGATTTTACAAATGTGGAGAGCCTATAATTAACACATTCGATCAGCTACTCGTGCTGTCTCTAGCTTGCATGCTAATCAAGACTAGTACAACTTGGGCGCTCCCTCAGATACAGAAGCTGGAGCGCTCCCGCGGTCAGATCTCCAAGGCTCGGTTGATCTCAAAGGTTCGGGGTCGTTTAGGCTGTTTTCCCGGTTGGGTCGGGGCTCGGTTCCCCGTAGTTGGGCTGGTGTTACTTTAAGTCCCACGTCTGAGACATCGGCTTCGGGGCAGAAGAAGGATTATTGTTCCATTATTCTCTGGGGGTCTGGCCTTCTGCTCGTGCTGGTTCCGATGTCTGCTGCCCACGGTTTCGACTTGTAGCTCATACTCAGACTGCCAGTAGCCATTAACAAAAAACGATGGCGGCACAACGACTGCTGCTCGACGACGATGGCTACGAGAACGAAGACGATCGCCACTTTACTGCTGCTCCTGCTGCACCACCAGCACCACCCCCACCACCCCCACC